CGTTGACGTAGGCCTGGCCGCTGGTGGGCGGGTACAGCCCTGGGGGGGAACACACGGCCATGGGGCAGAGCTGGGAGAGGCCAGGGCCCCTGCCCCCAGGTCAACGTGCTTCAGGCAAAGACCCACCGGGGCCCTGGGGGATCCCCCCGCCCTTCGCACAGCTGGCAGGGCTTGCACTGCCCTGGGGTGCAGCCCAGACTGGTGTAGAGAGCCTGGAGGATCAACAGCGAGGTCTGCCTTGGTCTAGAACCTATGGAGCCGCACGACAACTGGCCACGCAGGAGGCAGGTACCAGCCTGGCCAGCGCGTCCTCTGCTCTGCACGCTGCTGGGCGCCCCCGGGCCTGGTCCGTGGGCCAGGCCCCACGAGGCAGGGGAAGGAGCCGTGACAACGCAGGGCGCTGTGAGGCGACAAGAGCCCTTCCCTTCCAAGCGCCCCGCCGGGCGTCACCCAGGATACGAGGAGGCAGGGAAGCAGCGTGGGCAAAGGAACAGGCCGGAGTCAGACCAGGACAAGAGGCACCAGGGCAGCACCGGCGAGGTGCCCAGAACACCTGTCTCTTTCACGAGGCAGGGGAAGGAGCCGTGACAACGCAGGGCGCTGTGAGGCGACAAGAGCCCTTCCCTTCCAAGCGCCCCGCCGGGCGTCACCCAGGATACGAGGAGGCAGGGAAGCAGCGTGGGCAAAGGAACAGGCCGGAGTCAGACCAGGACAAGAGGCACCAGGGCAGCACCGGCGAGGTGCCCAGAACACCTGTCTCTTTCCAACAGGCCTCTGATGGCAGAGCAGCAGGGGGCGGGCGGGCGGCTCGGCAAGCAAGCCAGGAGCAAAGCTCTCCAGCCAGCGCCGCAGGCGGAGCACAGGAGCGAGAGGAGGGCGCGGGTCTGTCCCACGTGGCACTGGGGAGCCGCAAGGGCTGTAGGACTGAGGGGCACACGGGAGGAGCCTCGTTACGTGGGAGGATCTCAGATGAAGGCAGCCCTGGCCCTGCCCACACGGACCAAAGGGAAGGGCAGGGAGTAACGGACCGGGGCAAGCAGAAGATCCGGACCCAAGTTCAGCGGCAATGGGAAGACGAGAGGAAAAGGCAAAGCTCGGAGTCAGAGACAAGCCCGAGAGGGCGTGGGGACTCCGGCGTGCCACGGCGGAGCAGGACGGGACGGGAGCTGTGAAGTGGATCCACAAGGAACTGGACTCCAAAAACGGCACCGTAGGGAAGGCGACCGCCATTCTGACGGGCAAGAAAACCAGCCAACCCGCAAGGCAGGGAGAGGCCCTGGCGGTGGGGCTGGCGGGGTGAGTCCCACAGCGTGGTGCTTCCGGCGCTGTTGGCGTCCCCCGGGCCTGGCACGTGAGAGATGATGAGAACTAACCCTCTGCGCCCTGTAGATGAGCGTTCGCATCCCCGTGTCTCCCTCTTGCTGTGGGGACCCCTCTGCCGCCTGCAGGGGCGCTTCCGAGAGACCATCGGAGCAGCCAGACTGGGTCAGACCAAAGGCCCATCCAGCCCAGGGTCCTGTCGCCCACAGTGGGCAATGCCGGGTGCCCCAGAGGGAGGGAACAGAACAGGGAATCATCCAGTGATCCCTCCCCTGTCGCCCATTCCCAGCCTCTGACCACAGAGGCCAGGGACACCCTCCCTGCCCATCCTGGCCAGTAGCCATTGATGGACCTAACCTCCAGGAATTTAGCTAGTTCTTCTTTGAACTCTGTTATAGTCTTGGTCTTCACAACATCCTCTGGCGAGGAGTTCCACAGGTTGACGGGGCACCGTGTAAAGAAATGCTTCAAACCTGCTGCCTATTGACGTCTGTTGGTGACCGAGGATGCGTTGGACGAGCACCGGGAGGACCGATGTGGAACGAAGCGAATGAAGCTGGTACGAGGGAGACCGCGCTGACAAGACTTCCTTTGGCCCCGTGGCAGCTGCGGAGCTGGTCTGGCGAGGAGTTCCACAGGTTGACGGGGCACCGTGTAAAGAAATGCTTCAAACCTGCTGCCTATTGACGTCTGTTGGTGACCGAGGATGCGTTGGACGAGCACCGGGAGGACCGATGTGGAACGAAGCGAATGAAGCTGGTACGAGGGAGACCGCGCTGACAAGACTTCCTTTGGCCCCGTGGCAGCTGCGGAGCTGGCGGGCTCGTACCTGTGAGCATGGACAGGGTGGTCGTCTTCCCAGCACCGTTGTGTCCCAGCAGCACTGTGATCTGCCCCTCGTACATGTTCAGGGTCAAGTCCCTCACGGCCTCCCTGGTCTTGTTCCCCACTTTGAACACCTGCGGGAGCAGCGGGGATGAGACGGACACGTGCTCATCCCGGGGTGACCCATTTCGATGACTCAGCAACACGAGCAGTCGCTGGAAACTCCGCCGGCTACGCGATTAGTCGAATGGGGGGAGGGGCGCTCGCTAGCCCGCTGCGCCTCCGCCTTTGAGACGTACAAGAGCCACCCGCAGCTCTCGCTACGTTTCAAAGGGCAAGCGCGGCCGGCC